GGGGGGGGGGGGGGGGGGGGGAGGGACCCGCAAATCGTTTACTGTTTTCGCACTTTTGATTTTCATCATTTCAGGGGTTTTTACTCGATTCGCTTCAACATAACGTTCAGCAATAAGGGTGATGTATGCTACTTTGCTTATCACTTCCCGTACACATTCTCCTTCCTACAGGTAGGTTCTTTCTTGCGACTAGGTATATTCAAAAGTGTCACCCTACTGAGAGTTCCTACATTTGTTCAATATTGGTAGCCGTCATAGTTTTTCTAGTTTTTTCCCTGTTTCTTCACCCCCTCAATGATGAAATTAATGCCTCCATTTTCTTGCCATGGAAGAAGACTTGAGATTTTCGAAAAATTGATCGCCGTCATATGCCAAGTGCATCGTATGGCTGCAAACTTAGAGCGCACAAATGCTTAGGAAAGGCTTGATTCTGAAAACTGCTATCACTGAATAAATAGTACTGGTTTTGGAAATGTAATCGCTCAATTCTTACAAAATCTTTAGATTTGAGGGAGAATTAAGTAAAAGAACACAAAAGAGAATGTTAGGGCGGTCTTTTTTACGTTTAATCGTAACCGTCCAGGACTTTTTCAGTGAAAGTGATCGCAGCCCTACGCGGCACTTTGCTATTGAAAGGCTCAATGGCAACCTCTGCTTCACCTAAAACGAATGACACTTTTCGTTATCGTCAAAAACTATTACTAATTCTTTCCAGACAACCATTTCGAGATGTTTGTCATTGCTACCCGCCAACGTGCACTACTCAAATCATGTCATTGGAGAGTCTTTGGGAGGGAACAATGTTAATTTACTCACTGTAACGGCTAGATGTTCTGCTGCAGAAATATCCAAGAAGCGCATCGTGTTTCTGAGCTCTCGTGTACACCCTGGCGAAAGCAATGCGAGTTGGATGATGCATGGTGATAATAGTTTCAATATATCAGTTCATCGACTCCTATCAGTAACTTATTTTAGGCATTCTGGAAGCTTTGCTCACATCAGTAGATCCTCTCATTGAAGAACTCCGAGAAAGGTTTGTTTTCAAGTTGGTGCCAATGCTCAATCCGGACGGTGTCATTAATGGTAGCCATCGCTGTTCGTTGTCTGGAGTAGACTTGAACAGGTATCACTTCTGGTAATTGTTGATTTTCCCTGTACGTTTAAGCAGTTGGCCGAGAAATGGTCCCAAGCTCACGTTGAACTTCAAATAGAGACTTAGGTGTGTCGATACACTTCAAAATACTGTTCACAAATATGGAAATCCAAACTGCTTAATGAGTTCCTCAAGAAATTAGAGCTTCAAAATTTGCTTGCTCAAAGTTTGACGTGAGGAACATCAAGGGCGAACTACCCCGAGGGACACCGCTGTTTGTTGGGTATGCCTGAGAGCATTCTCTATAAATGGCAACATCTTGGCGGCTGTTCAAGAAGGAATGGATACAGCATAGTAAGCATACTTTGAATTCCAAGCCCTCGGCTTTACTTACAAGTAAGGAGATCGGAATGAGTCGAAAGCTTTACTCACGAAAGTACTCAGCGAAGGCAGCAACCTTCTCACGGTCATCTCGCCCTGCAGGTATGTTATGGACAGCATGTAGCGCAGGAATATTACAAATGAAATTACATGTATTGGAGAAGCATTCCCTTTTGAATACCTATGACAAATAAATTCCGGAAATGGTAGCCAAGTTGAGGCGTTACTCGGAAGAATATCAGAAAGTAATGAGAGAGCTTTTATTAGAAAGAAAGCAAGCTGTGCATAAGGATAGGCGGCGGGGAGCAAGCAGGGCGTTCGCTTGGAGGGAGGGCGCTATCACAGCACCAGGCGACGCTTACTGTCATTGCAGACAGCCGTACATTCCAACTGGCGCTCTCTCGAAACTTCTAGCAAGCAAGTTTTGAACACTCATATTGCTTACGATAAACTCATCAGCAGTTTCATTTCCTATAATGTAAACAGAATTTCTAACTATCGATTTACCTATCCTGCGTTCAATAGTGACACAGCCTCCTGTAGGTTTCACCAAAGTGCTCGCTTTAGGGCAATTCATAAAAGTCTCAGTATGGAAATTGTGCTCTAGTCGGACGGTATCTCGTAGACGAGAAGACATTTCCGCCTTGGAAGCATGGAAAAATTTCTTTTTTCAGCCTATGTTTCTAAAGTGATATATCAATATTCAGCAACTAAATGATAACCAATAAAGTAAGTTGCGAGACTAATAGTCATTTGGGCC